AGCCTTGTGAAACTGGTCAGTTTCAGGAACTTCCTGGGACTAATGCGTTGTTGTCTTCCTGAGTCTTAACTAGTCTCCCTTTAGAACTTTCTGAGTCTGAAGGAGCTTTCCTCCAAGAGGGAATGTTTCATAAAAACATTGACAGAACCTTTTTACACGGAGGCATGTGTACGTACATTTGCCAAGAAGGCAGACTGGTCCACCTCATGTTGGTTGGATTCAGATTCCCCCCAAGGAACTGACATATTCCTGTAATTGGAAAAATGCACAGTGATTTCCTAATGGTTTTTAATTTAGGAATCATGTATATGTTTAATCAATTAAACTGTGCTAGTTAATTATGTTTCCAGAGGAGATGAGTAATTGCTTCAGTATTTAAAGTTCTCTTGGTAGAAATTCATTCCATTGGGCAGTTATTTCTCTTTTTATCTGTTCATGTTTATTAATCAAGTCACTTGGGGCAGTGCATGCCATCTCCATCATGGTGGTTCTCAATCATTGTAGGGGAACAGATCTGTCCCCAAGGTGCATTTAATAATGTCTAAAATCATTTGATTGTCACGAGTCAGGGTGTAGCCAACGAGAAAGGCCAGGGATGCTGCTGTTTGTGATGTACAGGGCAGGCTGAGACCAGAGAATTATACAGGCCAAGTGCCAAGGGTCAGAGGCGGGCGCTGGGTAATGAAGAAAATAATCTGCTGCCTCACAGGACGCCTGTGTCCCTGGGGGGAGCGGTGTGTTCATTCCCTGGACGCCACTTCTACTCAGTGATTGGCTAAGTGGTTGGTTGTGACCATCCTAGCTTTGTAAATGGAAGGAGCACAGTCATGGTGTGCTCCTGTCTCATATTTCCTCAGTCCCTTCTTCCCCCAGTGCTGCCCCACAAATAAAATATGACTTTTCGTCACCATCCAGGTGGGAAACAGCACCAGTCTTGTGTTTCTTTCTTCCTGGAGAATCTTCGGGTGGTTTCCAGGCTCTAGGAAAGCCCTCTCCCTCCCTCCCTCTCAAGTCACATCTGCATTGCTGTGACTGGCTTGCTGTCATTGTCTCTCTGGCTGTATATCTCCTCTTTTGTTTACTGAAACTGCGGGAGCTTAAAGTATTCCCATCTCGCTGCAAATTTTAATATTCAATGAATATCTGCTATTGTCTAATGCTGTAGTGCGTGCAATGTGACAGTGTCTTTTATTAACTAAGTATGAAGTCTTTTTTTTTTTCCTTTTGGCAAGGAAACACAACCTCACCACGGTTCTGTGCTGACCTCCACAGGTTTACCCGAGGATGATGGGTGCTCAAGGCTGTGTCTGAGTGGTACGGGAACCTCATCATTTCAGAGACATCGGGAGAGTCACACCACCCAGGTATGACACCGTGTTCTCCTCCATGCAACAATGAGTGAAATTAAACCATGATGCACAGTCACTGAGTCATGATCACCGGTCTCCTTCCTGGACTGAGAACTGAGATTGTTTTCTTGTCCATCTATGGTCCTTTGTCTGAACATTTCTCTCTCTTCTCCATCTCAGCTGTCTGCAATGCTTGCTTGCTTTGGGAAAAGAACAATGTCCCAAACAGCTAAGAGCTAGCATATTTCAGTAGAGAATTATAGACATCATTTTGCTATGGTACTTTAAAATCACTAGATAATGGCAGTGATGATATGAATCCTTCTGACAGTGATGCTGTTTTCTGCATTTGCCCTGCGTTAGAGTAGAAGGTTGCAGTGACAGGATCTTGGAAATAACATCTGGATGCCCATGCTCTAGTTGCTTGTTGTTCAATCTCAGACCCTCCAAGTTCTGCATAATCAGCTCCACTTAAGATACTCTATGTGGGGTTTCCAAGATGGCTCAGTCAATAAAGTGTTTGCTTGTGCAAGCAGGAGGACTTAAATTAGATATCCAGGACCCAGAGGGAAAGGTGGAAGTTGGAATACATGCTTGAACTTCACTGAAGGGGCAGCAGAGATGGGCAAATCCCTGGGGCTTGCTCACCAGTCAGCCTTGCCTCTTGGTGAGTACTAGGCCAATGTGAGACCCTGTCTCAAAAAAACGAACTCAACATCTCCCGAAGGACAGCACTGAAGATTGATGTCTCCCTTCTACAGGCATGCACAAAAGCATACGTGTGCACCTGCACACACACATGCCCACATACAACTTTACACACACATGCTCACACTCATACAAGCACAGGCACTCATATAAACACCGCACACACACACACACACACACACAAACACGCATGCAAGACACCACTTATTGAGAACATGTTTAAATTAAAAATCCTGTGAGTATGTCCTGATTACATGTTCATGTTCACCATCTGACCTTGGAAATTGCACCAAAGCAAAGATTATTCTGGAGGAAGTAAAATATTGGTGCTTTTAGAATGCAATAGTACCCAGGATGAAGTAGTCTTGTCCCAGTGAGGTTAGCCCTCTAGATGTGTTTGATGCCATGTAGCCACAGCCACATTATGAGCTGAGATTTTTGTAAGTAGCCCTGATGAGGTGGTGTGGGAAAAAGATCAATAATTTTAATCTTAGAAATGAGTCTCTACCGAAGGCAGTCTGCGGAAATCACTTGTACTGATCTATAGGTGCCCAAGCGAAAAGAAAATGCTGATTGGCGGGGATAACTAATCATCCTAGTCTCTCCTGTGTTCCTGAGTGGTGCATCCGCTTTACCCTGCAAACACTACAGACGCCAGCATTCCCTGCCCTGAACAGGAGCTGCCCGTGTCAGAGCTGACACACAGTGAGACTCTGCCTGCCCCGCCCTCTCTCACCCATGATGCCATGCTCCCCCAGAAAGGAGATAGCTGGAAGCAGGCTCGTGACTTGAGGTCGCTGGGTCTTCCTGTTCATTCCTGGGTTTAGCTAAGAGACAGAGAACATTAGGGAAGGTCTTGGGAATTGTCTCCATCTCCTGTTTTCAAGGAGGCTTTTTTCAAATGTGAACCCCTTCCCTGGAAGAAGTACTCAGTCAGCTTACCCTGTCTCTCCAAACATGGAAAAACCACACAATCTCTGTTGTGCTGACTGTAGGCGCTCAGTGGTAGCAGCAGATTCCGCACTGGCAAGAAGCTGTGACTGATGGGACACTGTGGTTTAACTGCCACATGTCCCCAGGATTTATCTCTTCCCTGACATTTATAGAGGAAGTATGCACACAGCGAGACATGCCGCCTTTTAGATTTTCTGCCAGAACAATTTCACAGGAATTCAGTACCAGAAAGTGCTGAAGTTACTGGTCCTACAACAGTGGGATTAAAGTGAGCCCCCAACAGAATCCCTGTTTGTGGATGTCTGGGTTTTTATAATTAGTGTCACCAGTGATGACGATGATGATTATGATAATAATAATAAAGATAAAATGCATTATAAAGAAGAGAGCTGGTCACTTGCCAAGGATCAGCTGCCAAGTTAAGACCACATATCCCACTTTTAAAAGGAGTTTAGGGTGGAGCGCTAAGGGGGAAGTGAGGCCCTGTCTCGCCTCTCCAGCCGCTTGACCATGTGGTCTGAAGACCACAGTGGGAAGTCATGCTCTTGTTTGTTCAATGCTTGTCTCTATTGCATCCCTCGCCTATTTTGGTGAGCCTTGAGAAACATGCTCCCTCTTCCTTCCTCTGCTTCTGCAGCGAGGCAAGCACTTGTGAAGGGCAGTGAGTTACTCTCTACCGTAGGTAGTGGGCCAGAGACCTAAAACACAAGGGATGAAAGGCCTAGATGCAGCCCTTTGGAGGCTTCTGGGGGGCAGCAGAGGGGTGTTAGTCAGAAGTCCACGACTCACCTGCCCAACCTTTTCTTCAGACTCCCCGGCCTTCTGCTTTCCCAAATAGCCCTACCCGCTGACAAAGCCCAGAGTTCATTTCTCATGCCTGCCAATGCATCTGACTGGCACACTAAGTTCATTGTTACTAAGAAATCCATTTACATTCAAATGTGTCTTTGTTACACTACGTGTACGAAGTCACTAAATTTATTCTGTTTGGTGCTAAGTGTTGACTCCTGTGCTGTGATGGAAAACACGCATTTTACTACTGATCTGTACTCCCAACCCTTTTCAGTGTGTGTGTGCGTGTGTGAGTGTGTGAGTGAGAGTATGAGTGTGTATGTGAGTGTGTGAGTGAGTGTGTGAGTGAGTGTATGAGTGTGTGTGCGTGTGAGTGTGTGAGTGAAAGTATGAGTGTGTGTGCATGTGTGACTGTGTGAGTGAGAGTATGAGTGTGTGTGTGAGTGAGAGTATGAGTGTGTGTGCATGTGTGAGTGTGTGAGTGAGAGTATGAGTGTGTGTGCGTGTGTGTGAGTGAGAGTATGAGTGTGTGAGTGTGTGAGTGAGAGTATGAGTGTGTGTGCGAGTGTGAGTGTGTGAGAGTATGAGTGTGTGTGTGATTGAGTGTGAGTGAGAGTATGAGTGTGTGTGAGTGAGTGAGAGTATGAGTGTGTGTGTGAGAGAGTATGAGTGTGTATGAGAGTATGAGTGTGTGTGAGTGTGTGAGTGAGAGTATGAGTGTGTGCGTGTGTGCGTGTGTGAGTGAGAGTATGAGTGTGAGTGTGTGAGTGAGTGTGAGTATGTGAGTGAGTGTGTGAGTGAGAGTATGAGTGTGTGAGTGTGTGTGTGTGAGAGTATGAGTGTGTGAGTGAGAGTATGAGTGCATGCATGTGTGTGTGTGTGTGCACGCACGCACATGAATGTAGAGGTCGAGAACACCTTCAGCTCTCATTCTTCAGGTGACGTCCATCTTGGTGCTAGGCCAAGCAGTGAGTACCAGGTATCTGTCTGTCCATCCCTAGAGTTTGACGACAAGCGCCCCCATTTTCTTATGGGTCTAGGGTATTTGAACTCAGGTCCTTTTGCTTGCAAGGGAAGTGTTTTATCCACTGAGCCAGTTCCCCTGACCCTTACCTGTTCTTAATATAAACTTACGACAGCACCAGAGCCTTTGTCAATAGCGGCTGTTCCTTTCCTAGAGATAAATAATACATCATCTCTCACTGCAGCTTTTTATTAACTTGTAAAATGCAATGCCTTTGCACACGAACAAGGAAAGCTAACTTTCGATTAAAGTAGTTGAAGATCACAGAAACAGGGGCTGCAGTCATTTCCAGTCCTGTAGAGCCCCTGCATGTTGGTGTTTCAGTGTGTTGGTATGTCTGCGTGTCCTGTAACGAGACACAGAAGAATGTTTGCATAGCCCTAGGCATGAATGCATAGCCCTAGTAATGAATTACGGCAGAACTGCACATGCTGGTTTTTGGAGGATCTTGTAGATGAACAGATAGATTTTTTTTTTAGGTTATAGAGGAGTTGCAGGCTTATTTGGGAATTAGGCAGCACTTGCAGGAATAATATGACATTTATCTACGTACATTTTAATGAGATTTGAATAATTTTCTTTAATTTTTTGCTACTTGGCATGATTCTGTCTCTTAGAAGTTAAGGCTGGGGAGGAAGACTCAGCAGTGAGTGTAATGCTGGTGCATCTAGCCCAGAATAACTCTCTCTCCTTCTCCTCCTTTCCCTCCTCTCCCTCTCCTCCTTCCTTCCACTCCTGTTCCTACCCCCAAGGACCCTCCTCCCTATTGCGAGCGTGCCCAAACCAGGGGGCCTAGAACCCATCCCAAGAAGCCAGCAGATAGAGATACACACAGCACCACACGGAGGTGTGCGCACAGGATGACAGCAGAGGAAATAAATTTCACCAAACATCTGTTGTGCACTTTGGGCATGAGTGTAGCCTCCTATGCATGGTTAAGGTGTCCACACGGGACACTGTAAGGGGAGATGTTGCTTTTTTTCCCCTTTCCATCATGTCTTATTTACATTCACAGGCTCACTTTGCACCAACACCTTTTCCGTGACCTTGCGGCTCCCCTCCACAGTTACTCTGTGTGCTTTGTTATCTTTTACTTTGATGATGGGCACTTGCACACGGGGACAAACTTTACAGAACATTTCCTTAGCATTTCAAAGAATGTACAAAGCTACTTTGAGCATTGGCCGTATCCAAACACCCATCACAAGAGATCATTGATGGCTTTTGATAAATGCATTGCAGGCCAGCTTCTGTAACCTTCATAAATACCTTGTCCACCCCTGACACAGCCGCTGGTGGAATACCAGACTGGGATCAATAGAGAATCGACCCAAACCAAGGAGCAAATTGTTACGTGGTTTGCTTTACTGAACCGTCAAAGAAGCCTTTCTGTAATGTCATGCATCAACAAAATGAAGACTAGCAGGCACTAAATAAACTCAATGTTTGCTTTCTATATTCATTATATTTGCGGTGTGGACTGCTGGAAATTGTTCTAGCACAGACTTGAAACACACCGTCAGGTGAAATAAAGACATGTAGACATGTTTGGTTTAAACATCAAGGCACCTCTAAAGCCTGTGACGTAGAAACTAGGCTATTCTTACAAAAGGAGCTGGCTACCTGTCTGTCTTCGTCATCTTGTTGTCTGTCTGTCCATCATCTATGTATCTATCATTAGTCTTCTTATCATCACCTATCTGTCCGTCTCTCTGTGTATGTCTGGTTATCCATTTATCTGAGCTATAAGCAGAAGGATACATAGACTAGGAAATGCCTTCCCACACCCCAGCTGTCAGGGAATCAGTATTCTACACCCGTGACTTACATGTTGTGTGTGAGAAATGAAGACAGTAAATTACTTTGATGGTTTGAGTGAAATGTCAGGGCTCGCCTCAGGGGCAGGCCATGCCCTGGTTAGATAAGTAGAAATTTGAAAAAAAAAAAGTAAATCCTGTGTTTTGTATTTTTGTGCTGTTCTCCGTGTATCACCTGAATATGATAAAATTCATAGTATTTTGTATTTAAGATATTAATCTTTTATTACCAATGAGGTGAATTCAGCTGTAAAAATTTTTTTAAAGAACAAGAATGAGCTATCAGAGGAGTGACAATGTGTGCAAAGAAAAACAGACCTATGGTGTCTGCACACTGACCATCCCTGCTGGAGAGCAAGTGATTAGCCACACATATGTATAGGGAGCAATGATGCCGCTGAGGACACATTTATGTTGGTATATACATCCTGACAGACATAATTACAATATTAGTTCTAGAAATTTATTAGAATATTTAACTAAAAGGGAAGAAAAAAATAACTAATTAAGAATTAAGAGCTGCCAATCCGTTAGCTTGCAGGTATAGATTAATCTTAAATTATTAAAGAAGATACACGTGACATGAGCGGCCTGTTACCTAGCATTTTAGAGGGGCTCCCAAAGAGGATTGTCACTCCTGTCATGAACTGGTGTCTCTCTGGAGTCAGTATTCTAAACACCAGCTGGGCTTTAACATAAGAGAGGACATCTAACATGTAGGAGAATTGATTGGATCCAAAGGACCCAGTACCTAGTTGGAATGTAAAAGAAACTGGTGTGTGTATGTGTGTGTGTGTGTGTGTGTGTGTGTGTGTGTGTGGTGTGTGCAGGCATGTATGTGCAGGCATGTATTTGCACACCAGTGTACACACACACACACACACACACACACAGAGAGAGAGAGAGAGAGAGCACTTTTGGTGTCTTCGCATATCACTCTCCAGTTTTTGTCCTTTATTGTGTGTGTAAAAGTCTCCCTCTGACCCTAGAGCTGAATGGCCAGCATGTCTCTAGAATACTCTTGTCTCCACTTGTCAGTTGTAGAAGTTACAAATACGCATAGCCATGCATGCCAGGTTGGGAATTTGAACTCAAGTCCACAACCAAACTCGTTTCCCACTGACCACATCTCCAGTCCCATATTTATGATACTTTTAACCTTTTTTTTCCATTACAGAGTGTTGTGAATTTACTTTGCTTAGAGCGCAGTGGTTAGTTAAAACACACCACTTGGATGAGTGTTAGCATTTTGCTGCTTTAGCTTTTGAGCTATGTTTTCAGCGCAATCAATAGTGGAGTTCCTGCTCCCATCCCTCCTGCCAGACCAGAAGTGACTCATCTCTCTGAAGTGGGCAGAGCCCTCTTTGGCAGTTGCACTTCGCCAACTAAATCCATAAATCATACTGTCCCCACAAAACACAGCTGACACTGTGCATGCGTTCAGTGTGCATAAATGCGACACTCCTGCAGATGATTCTGCAACTGTTTTTCTGGCTTGATTGACTGATTGATTAATGTTGCTGCAGTGTTTTGCCTCATTTCGATATGTTGCTGTCTTTTTGGTATTTCAGCCTGAGTGTCAGCTGCAGATTCAATGAGAAACCGTTAGGGTTGAGATGTTCTCTCTGACCCATGGAACGAGATGACAGGCATGCCCTCCAACTTGTCAACCCAGCATGGCTTTTAGCTCCCCCCCCCCCCCCCCCGCAACCTCGAAAGAGACAAACAAAAGGGGGACAGGAAGGGACTAGGGACACAGCTCTGTTTCTGCCCTATGGGCAGTCTCAGTACCCAGCCACCCGGGAACCCAAGGTGAGAGGTCCCATTGGTTCTCGCCTCTGTCCTCCATATGCACACAGCTGCTACATTGTCTGGCGTGTGCTGTGCCTTGGCCCTCAGTTCACCAAAGATGCGGAGATGGTGGTGTTCAGTAACCAGCTAGGATTTTAGGTGTGAGCCAGTCTGTTCCACTTTGAGTTTTTCTCAAATCCAGTTAGTATTTTTTAGTAAAGATTGTCATGAAATTCCTGAGATCACATCCATAATTTGACAACTTGGTATAGAAAACTATAAAAAAAATTCCATGTTTTTGCTGTTACCAACTATGGAAGGATATACATCTGGGATTTGCCTCTCATTCTTAATAAGGGGGAAACAGCCTGCTGGGGGTCCCAGGAAATGGGGGGCTGAGGTCTGTGCCTGGGAGCTCCTAACTGTGTCCTTTACTGCTACTTTACTCCCTAAAATGCTCAAACCCATCTACTCACCTCTAAAAGTGCTCTCCACTGGCAGATGCTTAGTTTAACGATTTTACTCTCGCTAATGTGGTAAATGCGTCTTGAGACAAGTTGTGTTTTCCTGGTTGTTTCCGTTTTCATGGACCCTCAGAGCTATGTGTCCAGATCTGCTCTGTACCTGTGTCCTGACAGGCCTCTGTCTTTCCTGATCATGTAAGCCTAAGAAATTCTTGACATATTCTGATTAGCGCTGCTTCTCAGTGTCCTGTGTGCTCAGCACTTGGTTTTGTATCCCTGCTCAGTTGATTACTAGAGGATTGCCTACTGGCTAGCCGCTGACTGTCTGTCTGTGGATTATCATTTGGCTAGTTACCATTCTCTCTCTCTCTTTCTCTCTCTCTCTCTCTCTGTGTGTGTGTGTGTGTGTGTGTGTGTGTGTGTAAACCAACTTCTGATATTCCTAATAAAAAACAGTGTCTTCAGTTTCCTTCTGATTGCTCCATGCTTCATCATGTTAACTTTTATAGGCTTTGTTTGCAACTTTGTCTAATTGAAAACAGTCTCTAGTTCCTCTTGGGACTTTGTCTCTGGACAATATTGTGCTCTTTCCAAATATTCAGAAACTTCCTGTTTCTGACTGACCCTGTTTGGATCTGAGAGCGTACCTTGTATTATTTCCATTCTCTTAAATGGTTGGGTTTTGTTCTGTATTGGGGAAACTTCCCAGTGTTCTGGAAGAGGGAGTATACTGTGACTAAACATAATTTCCTGGAAGTAGCAATCAGATCCAGCTACCGAGAGGGCTCAATTCTGTCTTTTTTCTCATTTTCTGCCTGTTATTGAGCAAAAAGTAATAAGCCCCAGGTCTAATTACAGCAGCACCTATCCTGTCTCCTGGTTCTAGAAGGTCTGGTTTGGGCCTGGAAGTAGCAATCAGATGCACACACTGGGTTCTGTCTTTTTTCTCTCATTATCTGTCTGTTATTGAGCCCTTCTCTGCATTTTTCTTCCTCTGTGTAGTTTGCATGCCTGACTTTCCTGACTCCACTAACGGATGTTCTTGCGTTTCCTTCTAGCTGAACTGCAGTCCTGGAGAGGGTGTCCCAGGAGTGGTTTTCTGTGCTGACCCTCTTTAGGCATCCACCTGTGGAAGTTTGTTGATGACTCAGTGTGATTAGCCCTTGCCCTCAGGGTCTCCATTTTTGTTGGTCTGTTTGAGAAAAAAAAAAAGCATTTTTTTGTTTTTCAAGACAAGGTTGCTCTGTGGCTTTGGAGGCTGTACTGAAATTAGCTCTTGTAGACCAAGATGGTCTGGAACTCACAGAGATCCGCCTGCCTCTGCCTCCCCAGTGCTGGGATTAAAGGCATGTACCACCAACGCCTGGCAAAAAAAAAAAAGTTTACAGTAATTTCTTCATGCTACCTGCAAAAATAAAGATCTCTTTTGCTGATTACATATAGCAACCTAACTGCTTGGGCTTCCAGTTTAGATCTATGTCTGTGATGATAATTTTCATTTCTCTGATCAGAAAATAGTTGCTCCCTGTGTTTTCAACCTAAGGCCACGCTGGCACTGGCTTCTGGGGCAGTGCTAAGAACATTGCCAGAAATGTCCTCTGTGCTTGCTGTGACCTTCCAGAGTCTTCTTTGACGTCATCATTCTTTACATTGCCTCCCTGAGTACCCTTCTGTGCAAGCGGGGAGGCTACCTCTGCAGTGTTGTGCTTATCGCTGTGTTATGCAACCTGCTTGGTTCCTTTACAAGTGTGCACATGTGTGTCTGTCTGTATGTATATGTGCATGTGTGTATTGGGGAGGGTACCTCTTGAGGGGTGTGTGTGTGTGTGTGTGTGTGTGTGTGTGTGTGTGTGTGTGTGTGTATGTAGTGTGGTGTGCACATGCTCAGCCTGGTACCGTTAAGGACCAAATGCATTTTAATTACTTTTGTATTGAAAGCACACACCAGCCAGCACTCAATAAATTGCCAGCTCAATTTAATTGTCAACCAGTGGCAGTCCTAGAAGAATTAAGGCAAATAAATTGATGTAATATCCCATAGCTTTATTAAATATTTTTTCTTTAGGCCCATGTTAAAAAAAAAAAACACCAATAAACTTAGTAAATAGGACACTCACACTCTGTGTCACCATAAAGCCTGTAATGGCTGGAATTGGAAAGCCACATGACGTGAAGGGATTCAGAAGATCCGTATTTTTACTGCTGATCATAATTATGTAATTATATAATAATGCACTTATCCATATTATATCATGCAGTTTAAGGCACATGATTGTGTGTGTGTGTGTGTGTGTGTGTGTGTGTGTGTGTGTCTATATATACTATGGTGGATTGCATTAAAAGGTATATTTAGAGACTTACTTGTTCATTCACCCATTTTCTGGTAAGTGTCCACAGAGGGTCCACTGTGCTGGACACAGGCCTGGTATACTGAGTAGCCTGGTCTGCAGAATAAAGCCCCTTCCGCCCTGCAAGCTCAGTTCCAACAGAGGAGAGCACAAGCGCTAAGCAGTATTTAGGTGAATTGGATAATCCACCAAAGCAGGAGGCCAGGACCATGGTAGAGCAGGTACTTTGTGGAGGCTGTGAGTCAGGGGACCCAGTAAGGGGGGCATCAAGCACAGACCAGCCAGGAAGCCAATAATGTCGTCTGCGCCTGGTGGAAGGAGCATCCAGAGGAGACGAGCCAGAGCAGCGGGTGCTGGGTAGCTGGGGAGAAGTGATCTCTGCTTCTTTATTACATGAAGTTGGAATTCCCACAGTTACAACGTAGGCCTCGAGAGAGGAAGGAGGCTGGCTGCAAAAATGCCTATGATGACTGGATTTATGTTGACTTTCCTCAAAGCTGGTCAGTCAACCTTGAAAACTGCAGAGGAAGAGGCCAGCTAACGCATCTAGGTGGGGGAAGTAGGCTTAGGCTGCCTTCCTCGGTCTTCTGAGGACAGTGGGCGGGGCCCTGTTGGTCCTGGCTGCCCTCCCTCACTTGCCTGGGCCTTACCTCTCTACCTCCTCATTCGCAGTTCTGTTGTTTCTCCAAAACTGAATCTGAAGTGCTATTCCACGGTGGATAGGGCTTTCACAGCTCTGTGGTTTCACCATTGGAAGACAGGTGTGAGCAATACATGTGCACCCAAATGACCTTCCCATCCTTCCAATCTAGCTCAAACCCTACAACCCCAGTCTTCATGTTGCCTCAAGAACTGGGGGGGAGTTGTGGGGGGCAGGGGAGGAGGGAAAGGAGAGGGAGCTGGGATTTACATGTGAAGCAAGCTTGAAATAAAAAAGGGGGGGATGATAAAAAGAACACATTCTCATCCATGTTCCAACAATAAGTACATAAACAAATTATTGGAGATTATTTTTAAAAATCTATTTCATTTTAAGTTGTGTTTGTGTGTGCGTGCATGTGTGTGTGTGTGTGTGTGTGTGTGTGAGAGAGAGAGAGAGAGAGAGAGAGAGAGAGAGAGAGAGAGAGAGAGAGAGAGAGAGAGAGAGGAGGAGGGTATGTGCAGTAAGTACTGGTACCTTCAGAACACAGAGGCTTTGGTCTTCTGGAGATGAAGCTGTAGATGACATAGTTGCTGGAAACCGAATTGGGTTCTCCGTACGAGGTGCATGCACTCTTATCCACGACGGCGTCTCTCTAGCCCTGCTAAATTATTGTTGAGATCTCTGTGTGTGCTTCCTCCACACACCTTGGCTTGTCAAATGCACGTGTGTTTATGCCGTTGTTTTTCCATGGGGCATCTGGAGGGAGATGGGGTATATTTGCTTCTTCTGACTAAGTTTTACAGAATAAACCACAGTTCCTTCCATTTTCGCAAGGACTTAGATATATTTGTCAATTGATTGATGGGAAGGGAAACCTCTTAGAAGATAACGCAACCAGAGCTTGGGAAGGCTGACTAAACCCTGTGTATCTGGATTTGCATTCTCACTTTGCACTTAGAGCTGAGTGGCTTTAGCATCTAAAGATGAATTCTGCAACTATGGAGGGCGCTGATGATATCTAACCAGCTTTTCTCCGATGCTTGAGAATGGTTACTGGAATGATAATGTGGACCTAACACACGGAGACAAGCCCAGGACACAGGGATTCATCAGGCAGCAGGTGTTATTTTGTGGCACGATTGCAGGGAACAGAAACATGCCATAAGGGATGCTGAGTGTATGTGTGCCTGGCTGAAATATCCAGTCTGTGAGAAAAGAGGAGGGAGAGACAAGAATCCATGCATCCAGAATTCCCAGAGCCTCCTGACAGCCCCCAGCACGTAATCTTCATGTGTTAGGCAGGGGGAGGAGGGCAGTGCCGTGGAGGACTGTGGACAAGCCACTAACACAGCCAGGCTTTGAGGGCAGCTGTGGATTAACAAGTCAGCCTCCCTCTGGCTTGTAACAACTCTCTTACCATTCCATGTATGTGTGGATATGCATGCATGTGTATGCCTGTATGTAGTGGATCATGTGAAAGTTGACGGGCTGTCTTCAGTGATGGGCTGTCTTCAGTGGTTTTCTGTTATATTTGCACAGTGTGAAAATGTTTTCCTGTGATTGGCTTAATAAAGAGCTGAATGGCCAATAGCTAGGCAAGAGGTATAGGCGGGGCTTCCAGATAGAGAGAGGATGTAGGAGGAGATAATCCAGGTGCAGAGGTGATGCCAAGGATACGGGGGGCGGCCGGAGGGGGAGTCAGACGTAGAGAATGAAAGAAAGGTAAAAAGCTACACGGTAAAACGCAGTAGGTTAATAGAAATGGGTTAGTTTAAGTTATAAGAGCTAGTTATGAACAAGTCTAAGCTATAGGCCAAGCTTTCATAATTAATAATAAGCCTCCAAGTCATTATTTGTGGGCTGGCCATCCAAAGACAGTCCAACAAGAAAGCTTGCTACAGCTCCCCCATCTTATGTACTGAATGAGAGTCTCAGTTGGAGGCAGGGTTCATCAGCTAGTCTAACTAGCCAGCTCGCCCCAGGGATCCCTTTTCTCTGCCTCCCAATTGCTGAGTATACAGGACAACTTCCATACCTTTTTAGATTTTGAGGAGGTCCTCAGGGTTGGAATACCAGGTCCTCACACTTGCAGGAAAAGCAGTATTGCCACTGAATGCTGTCCTCAATCCTGGGTTTCATCACTTTCAACTGACATGAAGAAACAAGCTTTTTTCCTTAACTGGTAACTTGATGGAAGAAAATCAGCAACAAATTCAAACAAATGTCTACTGAAACCACAGCTGGATATATATATATATATATATATATATATATATATATATATATATATATATAATCATTAGGAATAGTTTTGATTTTTCAGAAAGTCACATCATCCGGATGTGCCTAAGGTCTAGAAACAGTCATGTTTGGTGTCAGTAACACCTTAATGTGCCTTACAGGGAACATCTTCGCCTGTGTTTCAAACTGAGGCCATAAAGGAACTAAATCCCAAGAGTAAATGTCACTGGATTGATGCACAGACAACTTTTCCTGAATTAGGAGGGTCAAACGTGTTCAGACCAAAGCACAGGCAGCATTTCTACTTTAAGATGCATGTTTTGTTTGGTTTGTCTGTTTGCTTTGTTTTTTATATTTTAAGAAATAGAGACACACACTCCAATAACCACAGACTTTCCATGGGGACTCACACTTACAACCTCAACTCCTTGGGAGGCTGAGGACAGAAGATGGTATTTGAGACCAGCCCGGGCTACATAACCTTTCCAAGTCAAGCAGATGGCCAGAGTGAGGCTCCCTCATAGAGACCAACCAGCAATAACTACAAACCACAGTCTCGCTTTATTGTCTCACATGTCTTGAGCCGCACCTTGAAGATTCACTTAAGCATGCCTTGACTTTTATAGTCTGTTTCATTTCTTTCTTCCAGTGTCTTGTTAGTGTCGGGTAGAAATAAGATTTGCATCTGATCTGAAACGTTAGTACTAGGTGTTGGGACACCCGGGGTGCTGCCTTCTTTCAATCCCCCAGCACAAGCCTCTGTCACTTTTGCGTAAATAGTCAATAGGAAAAATCAATTTTGAGATGAATGAACAGCAAAATGACTTCACATCTGAATCATTTACAAAGATTATTTTTATCTTTGAAATGAAAGACTTAAGGTAAATATCTCGGCTACCAATTACTCATTTAGAGTAATTAGTTTTGTCCAAAGATGTACACATCCATAAGAAGTCTGCAAGATTTGAGCCATCTACCTAGCTCACTGTTACAGCATGGCAGGAAGCTGTTGAAAATGAGCGAACAGATGCAGGAGTACTAGCCTCAAGAGGCCTGCAGACCCCGTGTATCAGCCTGTCTCTGCCTCCCCAGTGCTGGTATTAAGGACGTGTGCCACCACCACCTGGTGCCTTCCATAGTTTTAAATCACATTGGAGACTGTCACAACTACACCTAAATTATGCTTACATTGTGACCCCAGTATGGTTCCATATTTGAAGAGATTCTCTTTCATAACAAAGGAGGGAATCTGGTCCACTCCCCAGGGCCGTTTCCTGAGAGAAGCCCTTTCATTGGATGTTGTTTAATTTGGGCATCAGCAATTCTGGGGAACTTTATCAAAGTCCAGGAGCTAGCAATGCCAAGGCTCTACAGCCACTCTGTGCTAATGGCCCATTCCCACAAATCACCTATGCACATCACTCACCCAACCATCCCTCACCCAGATCTGACTGGCTAAATGAATGTGAGCTATTCTGTGACCAAGCTCTGGGCCAGCTGCACCAGCGAGCCCAGGTTCTGCTCTCCAGAGGGCAGCTTCAGGCCACGCTGCCACTCAAGAACAACTCCAGATCCACCATTGTTTCATGATGCCTGTGAAGAGTGAAATCCAGGATCATTACAGCAACACCTAGACACAGTTACACATGTACACAGTTACATATGTACACAGAGTTACATATCTACACAGTTACACATGTACATAGTTACATATGTACATAGTTGCTTATGTACACAGAGTTACACATGTACACAGAGTTACACATGTACACAGTTGCATATGTACACAGAGTTACACATGTACACAGAGTTACACATGTACACAGAGTTACACATGTACACAGAGCTGCAGAGGCCCCCAGGAAACCGCTTCTGTGTCATTTCCCTTTACCAGTTGCTCAGCTAACCATCTCCCTAAGACCCAGATCCCCTGCAACCTTCTACCAAGGCAAACAGTTAAAAACTGAATTCTAGCGAACAAACCTCTCTTGCCTAGCTGTTCTGTGTATGTCATGGGTATCATGGTAAGGCATCCATGGCATTTCCTTAAGTCAGGGCATGTGTTGTGTTTCTAGAGCCCAGGACTGGTCCAAGGGCTCCACGTGTTTAAATGAGACAGGTGCCTTTTATGCCTTGGGGTAACAGTGGTCTCCTGCCTGTTAATGCTGACTCCTCTGTGGTTAGCATTTTCCAGAGAGGGAAGCCAAGGAAGGATGAGTTCTCTCTTATAAATGGTAAATTACATCTGGTTTCAAGGCAGCTGACCCTGAGCCCAGCTGTGGCAGCACCCCTGAATGCCAGTGATCTCTCTCTCTCTCTCTCTCTCTCTCTCTCTCTCTCTCTCTCTCTCTCTCTCTCTCTCTCTCTCTCTCTCTCTCCCCCCCCTCTCTCTCTCAAATGAAATGATTCACTTTCAGAAGCAAAATGGTGATTCTGTTACCAAAATCAGTTTTTCTTGTTAGTGATAATATTCAGCCTATCCAGGAAATATCAAATGGCAGTGAAAGAATCTATGTGTGTATTATTGCTACCAACAGAACATAAGATTGCAAAGGTGGGCAGACACTAGTGCAGGTATTTCTGTGACACTGGGTAGAATTTGAAATGCTTCATTTATGCTCTACTGGACCGAACTGGAGGAACATAACGGCATTGGCTTGTTATTCTGAGATGCCAAAGGGCTTTTATCACCTATGAGGCCATGATACATGGGTTTTGCAATCTAATAAATTTAATAGATCTAAATGAAGCAGATTAAATGTTATTAGCCCCAGAGTGTTTCCCTTTGGGAGTAAGCCTCTAAAGATCATAGTCTTGAAATCCCTCTGTATCAAAGTTGGTTCGGAATGCCTATCTGCCATTTAGACACACCCGTGATCATGGGTATTTTTATAAGAAGAACAATAATGCTGGCGCTCTGGCATCCCTTTTATGCAGCTCTCTGCCAGCTCTCCTTTTATGTCTAATAAATTTCCCTCAATCGCTGCTAATCTCCAAAATAGAATCTAAGGAATGTCCTGTGCTGTTCTCCAAAGAAAGGGTTTATTCTGAGCTCAAGTTGATTGTTAGAAGCTCCAGTCAGGCCTTTGCTTGTCAGAGGACCACCAAAAGTTCTTTGCCTGTTGATTTCAAGATAACATTCCTCTGGACTCTCAGTATCCTAACCATCGGCAGCCCCATTAAGGAAGGGCTTGCTAATGATGTGCATAAGCTTGTGTGCATAAGCTCCCCATTTTATAATGTACTTGGGAATTTGAGTATTTTTAGTAAATGCAGCAAAGCTTTCAAAAGAGAGAAAACTACCCCCCCCCTAAAAAAAAGCAAAGACTAAGGATATTGCTCAGTCAGGGCAGTGCTTACTGTGCACTCACAAGGGGCTGAGTTCAACACCAGAACCCACACTAAAAACAACAAACGAAAACTGATACGCATGGTGCCTGATTGTAATCCCAGCCTGGGAAGACAGACACAAGTGAGTCGCTGGGGTTGCCTAGCCTCCTTAACAAGCTCCAGACCAGTGAGAGACTCTGCATTAAAAAAAAAACAAGGGTGATGGTGTCTGAGAAACAATGTCTGAGGTTGACCTCTAACCTACACACACACACACACATACACACACACACACACACACACAAACTCATACACTTGTCTATATACAGCATACATTCACATGAACACACACATAGGAACTCACAGGAGAAGACACCATGACTCGAGCTGGAGATTTGGGACAGTTTCTGTTGAGTTCCCTCCCAGCAAGTCTCATTGGTGTCTGCAACTGCCTATCATCCCCATGGAGACAGGCACCTGTGTGCTTCCGTGTGTGGTGCCGACTTCAAAGCTGTTCCTTTTGGAGGTTTAACATCTGGCAACTCTTGGGTTGTCATGGAACATGCTGAGAAAGAGCTCTCGCTTTAGCGGAAAGATAGACGGACGTTTGTGCCTGACACAGAGAGAAAGAGGGTACAGCCACTGGGGAGCCCGGTGGCATCTGCTGAGTGGAGGCGTGCGTCCTTTAGCTGGGGTTTTGAGTTTGACTCCTTGTTAGGAACATGTCTCTGTGACAACCTAGTCTTACCTGGCTTTCTCACAGATACAGTGAGCACTTGTTACTTTCTTTTCTTTTAATCAACTCAACGGGGGTCAGGCTTAGCCCGGCTAAGCCAGAAGAGACTCGGCGCCTGGTACCAGGGCTTTTCTAGAGGCCAGAAGGCGTAGACGGAAACCGAGCTCTAAAAGGGTCTCATCCAAAGGAAAGGGTCAGGATTGGAATCGTAGAAGCCGCAAGGGCCTAGAGGAGCTGTGCAACGACAGCCAGCTCCAAGGGAGGAGGTCAGGAAGGGACGCAATGACCCGGTGGGGCCTAAGGAAACTGCAGGATTGCAATTTCAAGGGTGGTAGGCTGGGGTAAGGTGAGGAGGGTCAGCTGTAGCCTTAAGGGCCTTGGCTGGGGTACCTCCGTCTCTACAAGTATCCCTGACTTAGGGAGCTGAAGGGGAGACTTACCCAATCGTTGATGGTGGATGTAGTGTCAAGCGATTGGTGAGCTGGAAGGCGAGTCTGCTGCAGGCCAACTGGAGATGAGAGATAGGGTCCCAGTGCGGCTCAGACCACGAAGGGGAGCACAGGCACCAGGAGAGCCTATCCAAGTCACGGGTAGACTGAAGATGAGGGATAGGATCCCAGTGCGGCTCAGACCATGAAAGGGAGCACAGGCACCAGGAGAGCCTATCCCGGGTTTCGGCACCAAATGTAAGCGTTTCGTCGGGATGGGTCAGGACAGGATGGAACAGGAGTGGGTCAGGTATTCTGGCACTCGGGAGTCACAGAATACCCAGTGTTACACAGCTCAGGTGGAAAGGTATCCTGGAGCTCGGGAGCCAAGGATACTGAGTGTTACACAGCTCAGGTAGAAAGGTATCCTGGAGCTCGGGAGCCAAGGACCACCACGGGTTGCAGTAAGCTTGGCAGCTTACAGC